CCATCTTTAATTGCTTCTGATGACCTCTTGACAAATAAACATTTATTAAAAGCGCTATAATTTTTCAGGCCGGCCTCAAATTCATCAAAAGATTTAAAAAACTCGGCTCCTGCTCGTCAAAACGCCATTTTGCCCGAAGCGATCCCGGTTTCTCCCCATCCTGAGGTGAGTCACGAGTGAGGCAGGACAGGAAGCCGGAGTCACGAGTCACAGGGAGTCGGAAGTCGGAAGTGATGTCATGCTGGACAAGAATCAGAGTCCGAATAACATTTATTCATATTCGGACTCGAGTCCGAATAGTCACTTCGAAAGTACAATCCAGCCTAGAATTCTGTGGTTTAGGGTGAACGCAAAATTTGTTGGCCTAGATCTAGGCTATAACGGTGAACGCGCATTGGGTGAGAATAGCCAAAAGTAAAAGACTCGCCTGCACTAGATCTATTCTCACCCAGGGTGAGAATAGAGGTGGCCTTCTACAATTTTTGTTATCACAGTGTAGAATTTTGTGGTTTAGGGTGAATGCAAAATTAGTTGGCCTAGATCTAGGCTATAACGGTGAACGCGCACCGGGTGAAAATAACCAAAAGACTCGCCTGCACTATTCTCACCCAGGTGAGAATAGAGGTGGCCTTTGACTTTGACCACTGCTGCAGCAGCGCTCCTGCTGGGTGCCCATTCTAATATAACACCTGAGTCCTGGACGAGTAGGTAGATCTAGTTGACAAGTTGGTGTTAGATCTGTACTGTTATGAAAAGTGGAACTTTCAGTTTTACTCTTCTAACACTAACAGTTTTGAATTTTCTTGGAGAACCGTCCATGCGAGGCTGTTGTTTGTGTTACAAGCAAACTCACTGACTTCCTCAGTGCTAACGAGCCCATTTTAAAGCCTTGCAACTATTTTTAGAGATATAGTTCTCATTGATGATTGTGTATAAATTACCTTTAATGCAATGAATGACACACAAACTTGCGTCACCCAAAAGTCCACAAATTTGTAAGAATAAATCTAGATTGGTGAACAGTGATGACGGGGTGTTTGGTTGTTGGCTGTTGGTCGACAATACCGAGATGTGGATGTACTTCCGCTAAATTGCCAGGTAGATAAACTTTTCGTTTTCTTTGTTGCTCGTCATCACTGATGAAATGTTCTACACGTATACATGATATGATAAGAAAATGTATTCGTGTCGTGTTTTAAACGTAAAGGGATGGGTAGGAGGCACGTTACTGATTCCCATAAAGTTGAAAGTAATTAACACATATCATATAGTGAATATATATCTATATGAATCTAAGTGATCGGTTAAGTTTGTTTTTAATAATTTGCCCAATCAGACAGCTATCAAGGAAGGGGAAATAACTTAGGCTTTTAAAGTTAATAAGTGGGCTTGACTGAGTCAAAGTACTATAAATATAAACTGTATGTAACGTAATGTACTTATATTCTCCGCATGAAAGTAGTTACACATGGACATCTTAAAACTTATCAAAATACATGTCTAATATGTTATGAAGTAGCTTTGTTGTTTTGTTCTTTTTTGAAAACGTATGCAAAAATCGCGGCCGCGATTCGCGGACCAAAAGAAGCCAAAAAATCGCGGCCGCTGGCATTTTTAGGCCTCTAATCGCGGCCGCGATTTTTACATTTTTCGAAAAAGACAAAACAACAAAGCTACATCATAACATATTAGAATGTATTTTGATAAGTTTTAAGATGTCTATGTGTATCTGTTTTCATGCGGAGAATTTAAGTACTTTACATTACATACTATTTATATTGCTGTCTGTCTTTTATTTTTCCCTCTTTGTTGTGTTTTAATTTGTCGGTGTGTTAATTTTTCTAAAAATTGTACTGATGATGTGTTTTTCTTCTTCTTGGGTTTATACAGCGAAATGTCATTTAATTTAATGCTGTTCCCACCATTTTAAAAATATAAATGTGTTCTGCTATTTAGAGCGTGTGTCCACCAAAACCGAATACTGACACTGGCACGCCCCAATTGAGTGTGATTCCATAATTTACACGTAATATCCTGTAGGCCTACTTTTTCTTGAATCACACAAGTTTGGGGTTAAAACAAAAAATCTTCGGATAGGCTGATACGCGTCCTTATTTGTTAAATTTTTGTGGTTATTTATCTGTGCTGTTCTAATGTTGTTCTTTCTATTGTGAAACTTTATTTTTCACGTTTTTACCCTCTGGGGGACTACAAATGATATTCTGGATGCTTAAAACAGAGCACAAGAAATTCGGGTTCCTTAGATTGTTACCTCTATCAACATATTTCAATATACACGTCGTCACAGAGAGTTGAAAGTTGAAAATTAATGGCAACTTTTTTGGCAACTTTTGCCACTTTTTGTGGCAATTTTGGCAACTTTTGAACAAAAAAATGGCAACAAACGAGATGCCAGGCTTACTCTCCTCACCTCTCCAGCTTCAGCAGCACAAAGTCTGCTTCGAATTAAGGGACCCCTGAAATAGCGGGTCACAAGAGTGTCACAAACATTCAAAAGAAGTAGAGAAAAAATGACGATAGTGAGGATTAGGAGAGAAAATGCAGCAGTTCCCTGTAGCAGTTCAGGTACAGTAATGAGCATGACATTGACGAATCAGCCCATTTACCATAAAAATTAAAATTCTACTGTGCGTAAGAACAGGTTTGAATAAATATCTAACTGTTCCCCCTTTGGGAATGGCCTAAAGATACTGCAATCGGTAGCACTGCCCCGGTGGGGGGGGGGGGGGGGTTAGTATATTCTGCACTTAAGCAACGTTTTAACTTGTTTTAGAAAAAGAACGAAATCTAAAGGGTCCACGAATCCGTCGGTCGGATCAATGTCTCGCGAAAAACAATGCATCTGCGGAGAAGGAAAGTTTGCCGCATTTAGAGCATTATTATATGAAAGCTTCATTTCCACTTTCCACTGTCCACCCGTGGATGTGCACAGCTTGCGGGTTTCTTTCTGGGCTTCAATCAGCTTTTAAAACAATAAAGTAGATGTTTTGAGCCCTTGTCTTATCGACACAATTTAGATCATTTAGGGGGCGGGCTACCTGTTAGGGACAACCATTGTTAAGAGAGATACAACATCCATGCAGATTAAGACCGAGATACTGCATAAAAATATCTCGCCTCTCGGGAATCGAACTCGACAAGTCTCCTGCGTGAGACAGCCAGCGGGTACCTATCGCATCGCCGCTACACAACAGTTACAGACGCCGGTTTCTTAATCTGTGAAAACTCTTATTAACCTACTAGGCTAACATTTATGATTTTCTGCCTTCTATGATTGCTTTTAGACGATCATATTAAATGTTTCTGCTGGAACAGTTATAAGACCTACTAGGCCACTATTTGTATTATTGTTCTAGCTGACGGCAAGCGTACCTTAGCTACATCTTCAGTAGATTATCTTCTACTGCCTCTCACATCTCTTTCTCTCCCCTATTCTGTCTAAGAAAATACAGTAAGTCCTTGTGTTGAACTTCTTCAGTCCTAGCCTTCTTCAGTGCTATATATCTGTCTACCGTCTAGCCTACTTTCCTACAGCACCATCCCGGATAGGCTGATACATATAATGCCCAATGCACACTGCCACTGCCAATCGGATTCATTTGATAGGGTTGTGGCTATGGTCGGGGCCAGCCAAGTTTTCTTTCGTGGGTGGGGCAAAACTACCGCTATATGACACAAAACCACCATATTCAACTAAATTCGACTATAGCTTTGACTTTCTACATTTTTCAAGATCGCTAATCGAACTGGTCGAATTGTACCAGACCAGTAGGTTTTGCTCCTCCATGAAGGAAAATCTAACGATGAAGACTTATATTATGTCCGATCAGCAGGAGACCAAAAAGCAGTGAGTTGGAGCAAAATGCGGACCATCAAAATAATACACAAACAAGAAACACTAATTTGCTTACTATAATTTCTTAACATACACATTGAAGCCTCCCTGCCCTTATTTAACATAAGTCTGAAAACAGAATTGAAAAATTTGTATTACAAAGGAAATAATGTTGGTTTGTGGGTTTGTTTGTTTGTTTTTGAAGTGTCCCAAAATAGAATGCGCTTCTTAAGTCCTCGGTGAGTTTAAATTAAAAATGAGTGAACAGCTTCCTGGCGGTCGGTACCCTCCCCGCCAGCTATCTCCGCATCACCATTAATATCATCATCATCAATGCCTTCAACCCCTGGCAGAGTATAGGCCGCATACAAGCTCCTTCCATTTATCTCTGTCCTGGGCCATCCTTCTAAGCTCGTTCCAAGTGAGCTCCATCTCTCTCATGTCCCTTTCCACACATCTCATCCATGTTTCCCGTGGCCTACCCCTGCCTCGTGCTCCTTGTGGGTTCTATTGCAGCAACTATCTTGTGATGTTTCCGCTGTGTCCCCGCATGCCACGGAAAAAACATTTACAGTCGACTCCATTTGTGATGAACTCGCTTGAGATGATCTTCGGATAATTAAGTTAATCTTTTTCTCGGGTCCCAGCACATCTTCTTCTTTACAGTTCCCAACGGTTAAGTTGAACTTCGGAAGAGAGCGTTTTTAATTCTACGGGTACTTTTCGAGGAGCGTGTTATAAAAAACATACCGCCTTATGATTTTTTAAATCGCTCATAAACCGCCTCCACACCTCATAGTCTCCTTTTTTTTTTTTTGGGGGGGGGGGGGGGGGGGGGGGGGTTCTAGTTTGGTAAGTGCTTTACGGCGCTCGCAACTGCATAAGGTCATGAGCGCGCGTGACACATTAAATATTTTCAGTTTGGTAGCAATTTTGAATTTTGCCCGAGTGACGCCGAAGCCTACTCTTATCGATTTGAGGACCACCAAGGGATCTTTAATGTGCGCCACTTGCACTCGAGACCTCCGAGATTTTTCGCCCTTATCTGAGAAGGCAAGGTGTTATATCTTACCTACTGTAAGATCAGGGGTGCAGCTGAAAGACAACAGTAAGAAGATGCTAGGGAATAGCAGTAGAAAGGCTGCAGAAAAAATCAGGAACCAAGGAAAGCAGCCGACAGAACATGGTTAGAGAGAAGGAAAGGAGGTGAAAGGAGAACATTTTAGAGAAGAAAATTTTCCGTCCCTGTCAGGTTTCGAACCCGGGACCTATTGAAGAGAGGCAAACAGCGTAACCTCCAGACCACGAGTGACCCCTCGGTGTGCTTTACAAAGACTGCAGTTTTTCACGTGCAAGTATGCAACAATTGTATGTGTGTGTGTGTGTTTGTGTGTGTGTGTGTGTGTGTGTGTGTGTGTGTGTGTGTGTGTGTGTGTGTGTGTGTGTGTATGTGCGTTATTGTGTGTGTGTTTGTTTCTTTGTTTGAGTTGTTTGTTTGGCTGTTATTGTTTGTTTGTTTTTTGGGGGGTTGTTTTAATGTGTATCGTCAGATGTTCCACAGTAGTTTTGAAAAGAATAAGAAGAGATATACATGTAATATTATGGAAGACAGACGCTTGATGGGTAAGGAAAAGCCAACTTCACCAGAACACAGGCCAACCACCTACTTACTTCGTTTTGTTTCAACAGTTTTGACAACAGCAGCGATACAAGTGCAAGCCCGATATACAACTGAGCGTGTCTTACTTGCGCTTTCGTAAGATCATAAATATTTGAGACATTATAGCCCCCCCCCCCCAAAAAAAAAAAAAAAAAAAAAAAAAAAATTAAAAAATATATATAAAAATCCTCCCCCTACCCTCAAAACAAGTTCCCACGTGAACGCGGGTGAACTGAGGAAACGAAAGGTGGCCTACTTTTCCTCATGACCAAATAACTTAGAGACTACGACTTAACAGTCAGAATAAGGGCAAGATCGTGTGTGTGCAGACAGACAGACAGA